TGTGCTACAGGATATTCATGTGTTCGTGTGTTAATTTGTTAGATAGTTTCTTGAACACCTTTTATGTAGCAGGCACTATTTTAGGTGGTTGGCAATATCGTGATGAACAAGCACATTTCCGGCTTTTGTTGAACTTAAATTCCAGTTTACGAGGTAGATGTTACCAAGTGATGTTTTAAAAAAATTAAAAATCATATAAGTATCAAATATTGGAAAGGGGATGCAGGAGATTAAGTGTAGACATGAATACTAAATCTCCATCTTTCATTAGAAAAATTAATTCAAATGTCTAACAGCATTGTTTAATGGTAGAAGTGCCCTAATCTGGGGAAATCATGGTGGAAATGTTTTGTGACTATCTGTGCAGGTGTTAGCTACAAAGGACTGTTGGGAACTTGAAATGTGGCTCATGTGACTGAGGAACTGTAATTTTATGTAATTTTAATTAATTTAAACTTAAATCATGACATGTGCCTAGTAACTACTGTGTTGGACAGCACAGGATTAAAATGAATGAATTAAGAGGTAGCAGCATTGTTTTAGAACTAAACAGAAAACCTATTAATCAGTTGCCTGTGGGTGGGTGAGGGATTGAAAGGGAAAAATCTCATCACAAGCCATCTTGCACTGTTTGATTTTCTACTACATGCATATATTTGGTTGATTACTACTTAAACTTTTGGAAGACTAGATTGCAACCAAATGGGTCTTTGAAGGGGAGTAGAGAATCATTAAAGTGAGATAAAAGTTATACTTGAAATGTAAGTCCAAATGAATAATTTGGCAAGAATCAGGGGTCTAAGCTTCAAACAATTCTTGTCAGCAGGGGACCTTCATAGGGAGTTTCATCATTTGTCTTGAGAATGGCTAATAAGGTAAATTGTGGTCAGTGAGGTAAATACTCTGGCTACAGGAAAACCAAAAGCTGAAAAATTTGAAATATATCCCTAGAATTATGGAGGTGTGACAATTAGCACACGCTAAAAATGTGGATCTACATCTCCAACTTATCTTCACAAAGCTGTGCTCCAATATAAATCAGCAATATTTATTTATTGCTATACTAGTGGTTGAACCCATGGGTTCTCTACCAGTGAACTATATCCTTTTTATTTATTTTTTAAAATTTTAAGACAGGGTCTCATTAACTTGTCCAGGGTAGCCTCAGAATCTTGTGATCGTCCTACTTCAGCCTTCTTATCACTGGAACTATAGGAATGAACTACTATGCCCAGCCAAGTCATCAATATTAAACCATCACCCAAGCTCAACTGGCATTCATTGTGCTCAAACTTAGTTTACATTTGAAGATAAGAAAATATTTGTAATTACCTTTCAATTCAATAAACTTTTGTTCATGGGTAGTTTTTGCTATGTTCTATTGATTGGATATATAGCCAACTTACTGAAGTTCCTAATTTTTATTTAGGGGGAGGGGAAAGATGTAGGGGATGTAGAAGCTGCATAGCAATCTTTGTTAAGAATAGAGGAGTGAGGGCCACACTTCCTAGACATGGTACAGTGGGTATTGGCTTCAAATTTTTTTGTAAACTGTTGCTAATTTTAACAACTTGTTTAAAATATTTTGAATGAAGGAGGAGTAGGTAGGGATAGGAAGCTGAGGAGGTTTTTCCTAGGAAGCTGTTGGAGTGAAGCATTTAAGATGTGTCAACAGAACACTACTTGTAAAAAGTCATGTCATTGTTCAACTATGGGTTCAAGTAAACCCAGAGCAGCTACATCAAGCTACATTATGGGGAAGGAGCAGAATGATTTTTTTTTTAACTGCAATGTAGAGAAAATCTATTGTGATTTAGGTGATAGCAACACCAAGGAGCCACTACTAATATTCTGTATCACTTATTCTTACAGTAGAGATATAAATGGGCATGTTCTGGATTTGCTTCACATTATACAAGAAATATTAAGTTATAACTGCAGATGCATGTGGCCCAGTGGCTGAATAAAACTGAAGAACAGGCCTGCTTCAGTTGCAGTAGCTGTATTTATTTGCTATCTGGAGATGGCAATTCCTTGAGGGGAGAATGTATTTATTGAAAAGAAGATATTCTTGATACTAGTAGGCTAATATATAAAAGCACAGTTTATATTCTTTGAAATGAAATGATTATAGGCCCAAATCCAAACTCACCAAATGGAAACAAAGGGATGTATTGGGGGTGGAGGGAGTGCACTCTGTTTTTACAGGTTTTCACATGACTTTCCTTTTAAAAAGTGCATGGAATGCATCCAAAACAAATAATGTTTTGTTAGATGAGAAGACCAAAAGGAAAAGCCTAAAGAAAGGAGGATGGATGATCTTTCTTTAATGTCAAAACTGACATAAACACTCCCCTCCCCCCACCCTTTTGCTCAAGATAATTTTCTCAACAAGAGGCAGATTGCTTCAGTCTTTGCCTATCACCCTTTGAAGCACTTTCCTTATTATTAGCAGTGGGGGCAGGGTTTCCTTTGAGGATTTTTACAGCAGTGAAGAGTTCCTCCTTTAAATACTTTCACATGATGAGGGAATTCCGCTTTCAAAGTGCTGTCATCACTGTGGCTTCTCTGCCATAAGACAATTTATTCTTGGACGAAGGTCCTTCTTAGCTTGATTGTCATTAAGGACTTACCTTTCTGATGGATTCTGTTTCCACAGACTTTGGCTTTTTCTGAGGGACCTAGCAAAGCAACTCGCCAGTCTCCTTTGTTAACCTTACTGGTGAAGTTAGCTCTGATTTTTTCCCCAAAAAATATGTTCCATCACTGGGGATTATAGTCTTCAACATGGTTTCTCCTGTCAGTCTCCAGTGATCAAGATTTGGGTGACAAATCGAATATTGCATATGAGAGCTGCATTTCTTCCACAGTGCAAAAGGACACTGTGAATTGGAGGAGTTTTGAAATGTCTTTATTGATTTTTGTTTTCATTATTTTTAATTCCTCTTTCAATGAAATAATTCCATGTTAAACAACAACAACCAAAAAAAAACAAAAAAACATTCAAGTATTAGTAGTTCCCCAGGAACACTGAGGTCTTTTGAGAACTTCTACTCTATTTCACCCCGTTCTATTTTTTAATACAGTTTCCTGGAACAAATTTGTAAATATTTAATTCAGGTAGACAAAATACATAGCTCATTTGAAAGAAGTCTCTTCCCTTCCAAATCTTTAGTGGACAAGTATTCAAAATTATTAGGAGAGAAGTAGAATTAGGAAACTCTAGATACAATTGACGGTTTTCTCAATGCTACTGCTGAATGGTAAGTTTCTAAGTCTGTGTGGTTATTTTAGGTAAATGAATAAAAAATTATGTATGTCTCAAAGTAGATTGCATTATTTACATCATTACTCTTGGACTTTCCCTTTGAGTAGTTTAGCCATTAGAAAGTGAGAGAATAGGTATTGTTTTGGGGTGCATTCATTATCTGCTTTAGTGTCTCAGAATTGAAACAATCAACTAATCCAGACAGGAGGGTAAAGATTTCTTACAGCCTTCAGCCTCCTAGCTGCTAGAGTGCTTAAACTGAAGACCTCTCAGGCTTTTATTAAGGAAGAAAGTGGAATCTAAAGACAGTATGAAAGCCAAAATGCTCAGATTCTAGTTTTGGCTCTGCTGCTTAATGCCTGTATAGCTTAGATAAGTAACTTACTCTTCTGCTCTCAGAAGAGTAAATTAATAAGGCTACTTTATATGTATATGTATACACATATACATATGTGTGTGTGTGTGTGTGTGTGTGTGTGTGTGTGTCTATTTTGAATGCACCTATTTTGAATTCAAAAATAGGGGAAAATGTATGTGTGTGTACACGCATGCACACACACATGCACAAAGATAACTTTATGGTAAATTTAAAACAAGTTTCATACTCTTTTCTCTGTTTACTACTGAATCAATTGTGCCCCCCCCCCAAAAAAATAAAATGATTTAGGCCATGGAAGGTTAAAAAAGAAAGAACACAGTGCAAAAGGACACTGTGAATTGGGAGAGTTAATAGATAAATGGCTTTAATTTTCAGTGTCCCAAATATCACCACTAACACTTGTCTTCATGAGCAGTTGACACTTCTGTCATTGAACAAAGATACCCAAATATATCAAAACAACCATTGTAAACCAAATTCTATAGCTTAGAGTTTATTTAGGAAATAGGCAGAAATAACTTTTTTAAAAATGATACTGACACTTAGCGTAACTAATTTTTGAAATGTTAAAGAGTCTAGAAGTTTAAGGTTTTTCCTGGTTTTTTGTAGCAACTTTGAGCTATAATCAAGGAGTTGGAGAGTGTTTAAATTTGTTTTGTTCTATCTAGCCCCGACTGTGAGGACTATACTCTTGTATAGTGGGGGATGGGGAGCTTGGGCCAGTTTCTTATAAAAACTTGGCATGAGCTAATTTGTTTTTTATTTTTTTGAAACTGGAAATGATATTGTTGAAGTTTGCATTCTGTTGCTCTATGAATTTCTCCTATAAAGTGAGCAAGCCTGTTCCCAAAGAACATAAGTCATGCTCCAGATACACCTTGTCCTGGGAAATTTGATCCGAATGGTTATTCATCTTTTTATACTTTGATCATCCAAAAAAAGAACTAAAAAAAGCCAGACCGATTAACTGATTATATTTTGCACAGTGTCATAATGGAAGATAAATAGTGCTTCTGGGTCATGCCAGTGACTCTGGAGACAAAAGAAAGAATGGGGACAAAGAACTTTCAAAATTTGGGAAAACTATTGGATGGCCTAATAATGTCTCATGAGACATCAAACCCCAATGCAACCATAAGTTGGATGTGAGAAAAGGGTTAGTCTTAAAAAATAATTGTGTCTTGCAAAATATACTTCAGCTTTTGACTTTTTTTTTTCAAGTTGAAAAAGTTAAGCATAAGTCATATTCTAAGTATTGACATTATTTGCTTAGTACTTATTTAAAATTGCATTCTAATCCACAAATGTATCTCTCTCTTCTCTGTTTCTGTTTCTTATGCCTGCTCCACCCAGGTTGGCCTTCCTTCCATGACGTGATCAGTTCTGAGGCCATCACGTTCACAGATGACTTTTCCTACGGCATGCACAGGGTGGAAACAAGCTGCTCTCAGGTTAGTTAACCCCACCTGACAACCCAATAGGCCACTCACTTGACATTGCTAACACTTTCAAGACTCTTGCTTGTACTGAATACAGCAACCAGTGTCAACCAACTGTTCACTAGTGGAACAGACAAGCACAATGAAGTCTTTTTAAATTTTGAATGATACCTCAGTCAGTCTTCAGGTGTTTTGCAAGTCTGATGAAATATTGATCTTTAGCTTCAACACTATTAAACAAAATCATTGGCAAGACAAAAATCCCTTCATTTTACTCAATGTAGGGGGGAATGGGCTATTCTCTAGGTAGGTATATGAAAATTTCATTTTGTGGCCTGGTAGAACTTGGTGTTTTGATAATCTTCTCTCTCAAGTTCATCATTCATTCGTAGTGCCTTTAATGTCTGTGATCCAAACACAGTCAATGAAGACCCCAGAAATGGCTTTTCTTGAATGGGTATTAGGAGGGAAATTGCAGAGAAGCTGTAGAAGTGGAAGTTCAGTGGTAGGCTAGTTGAGGACAGAGTAGCATGCCTCTCCTAGTATGTTGACATCCTCATTTCCAAGGAGGTTCTCATCAATACTGTCCATTCCTTTCTAGCCAAATTAATGCTGGCTCTAAGGGAGAAAATGAGCATGTTTTGAGAAGGAAGCAAGAGTAGTTAATTTGTTCAGAGACCTAAACTTGTTGGTATTTTGTGCCTAAACCCAGAAATATAGCTAGAACTTCCATGTATACAGAATAAGAGTAACTGCATATCCTATGATAGGCAGGCCTTCTCTTCTGATCTGTTTTAAATAATAAAATATACAGTCCGATTGTGGCATGGACATTCATTGATACTACAAAGGGATTTGTTGGGAAATGTCTATAAACAGTTCAGGGGTAAAGGGGGTACAATCAGGAGGCTGCAATAGCAAAGTGATTGTGACAAGGACCTCCCTCAGGATTCGTCTACTTACCCTTTATCCATTTTTTAAACCCCCTTTATCAAGCACAAGATTTTTAGGGAGTAGGTGGCATATTTACCAATTAGGGAGGGAGATTGGTTTGAACCTGACCACATGATGAAATTCTGTTTTCAATTTTGTAAATAATAAATAATGCTGGCAATTTTACTGTCTTATAGATATGGGGTTCACTCCCTCCCTTGAAAGATAGATTATGTATCACATTTTATTTATACCCTCATGTCTCAGAAATGAGTCTCTGAACATGGTAGTGGGACTTTCTGATGCAGGCTTCATCCCCAGCCACTCTGATTTAATTGGGCTAGGTATAGCCTGCACCACTGCATTTAAAAACCTCCCCCATGTAATACTCTCAATAACCTAATGAGTTAGGTCCTGCTATTCTCCCTTATTACATAGTAGATGAAACTGAGTCACAAAGAGGGCAACTGAACTTTTGTAAACTTACGCAGATTTAAGTAGCAGAAGTGAAACTTCTGTGCAAGACAGTCTGAATCCAAAGCTTTATATGAGAGACAATGGAATGAGGGTAATGTTACTGGAAAGAGCCGTATTAGAGTTGAGGATGAAGCTCAATGGTAGAGTACTTGACTAGTGTTCACAAGGCCCTGGGTTTGATACCCAGCAACACACACATACACACACACACACACACACACAAATAATAATAATAATAATAATAAATTAAATGAAAAATCCCATTATTTTCCTGTAGTTGTTTTAATGCAATTCAGTTTTGAAATCAATTTAATTATAATTGATGATTTTTATAAATGTCACCAAAAAATTAAGACTACCCAAGAATCTAGAATTTTTGACAAAAGGAAAGTATAGACAGGCTGGTACACAGGAATTTGTAATTTAAATACACAGTACTTAGTAAACCTTTTTTAAAGCTAATAGTTGTTTCTTTTAAGCTGCTCTATGACTGTGTCTTTCCTTTTCACTTACAACCCATTTTCAAACAATGAGTCCTATGAAAACAAGATTAAAAAGCACAGAAAAAGTGAGGTGAGGTATATGTTATTCACTTTCCTTAAGGCTCTACTTTCTTATTTCTGAATTCTTAGAATTCAGTTGAAATAAACTTCCTCTTTTCCCTATGACAGCTCCAGATATCAATCAACAGTAATTAAGAAAAGATCATTCTTGAATGTGTCTTACAGTGACCAAAGAGGAATAAAACCCACAGGCAATGCCAAGATTAGGTGACATTCATAAGAGATATTCTGGCCCTCTGCACAAAGACTAAGTCTTTGGGTTCTTTCCTAAGGGTTGTGTGAAGACCTAATATTGACCTGTTCCCTTATGGCTTTTTATCTACCATCTTCACTTTTCATATTTAGAAAGTGTTAAACTCTTTCTTAAATAAAAGTTCTAAATTTAAAAAGAGAGAGAGAGAAACGTATTCCACTAAGGCATGTATGAAAGTACATGCTTTGCAGTGAGCTCCTGTAGGAGATTATTGGGTTCCAGCACTACAGACCCATAGGCTTGCTGGCTCTTTCTGTGTAAGCAGAGCCCAGGATGTCTGCCCCTAACAATTCAGCACACTAAGTTGAAGCATGCTGGAGATTCTACTTTAATTTCTTTGTCATCTAATTTGTGTGTTTCAAACACATTTATTTTCCTTTTATTGTTTTTTCTTTTCCTTTTTCTCATAAATCCCTTTTACCTTGACTTAAAAAAAACTGATGTAATATTTGTAATATGTAATATGTAATAACTATAACTGATGTAATAGTTCCCATGCTAGAGCAACCATTTGTGTTTTGCTTCCTACTTTCTCATTCTTAACATTATTTTTCATTTACTGGCTAATCTTTTTTTGACCTTTTTTCCCCCAGTTTAAATTGTCTCTTCTTATCACATCTTCCTCCTTTTTTTGTGGAGAAGGGTAGTTTTTGTTTTTGCTGGTGAGATAGTGTGGGAAGTTTCTCCTGGTTTACTTTTTCCTTTTCCAAAATTCTTGTTTTCTCTTCTCTGGGGTGAATTGCATTAATGTAGTTTGTGTTGTGAAGAGTTTGTTAGATGCTTTTAGTATCTTACAGACATTCTCAGTTGAGCATGTTATGTGGAATACTTCTTCCTTTGGGGTAAAGGTGGAATATCTAAATATAAAGACTCTTTTACTGCCAACACAAATAAGCTATTTCCATTGAATGGAACCAGTAGATTCAACCTGCCTGCCTGCAATATGGTCTATGGGTTCCTAATTCTTGTTTTAGTACTAATACTCTTATTATTTTTTAAATTGTGGTATAATCATATCATGAATGCAATTAATTAGGCCTCATATTTGGGTAGGACTTATAGACAAGTTGGGAGCCTGTAGCCTACCACATTTATAGTACATTGTAGTTTTTCCATATGTTCAGTGACTTCTTAGGTAATAATATTTTAATGAAGTTCTTACTGAGAGCATTAAGATTGGTTCGGTCCTTATGCCACTTCTCCAAGAAATTTTGCAATTAGGTCCTTTTTACAGAGTGTTGTATAAGAAACCTGGCACGCTGTTTGGGTTAACAGAAAATGGGCAGTGGTAGGATTCCTCCTGCTTTCATGATTGTTACTTATGGAGGAATAGGCTGCCCTGTTGCATTTTGTTGTAGCCCTATTTGTTTCCTGTTTGCTCCTGAATTGAGGAATTGCATCCCAATTCTTTCTTCTAAAGAGGGTCTTTATCTTCAGTTTGCCTACTCTGGTGGGCATGTGTGTCTTCTCCCTGGCCAGTCATTTCCTCATGATTTCAATTATGAATAATCTTCCTTAATTTTATTTATATTTCAGTTTGTGATAAGTTAGGTTGCTTTTATTCCAGTTTCACTGACTATTGTGAATAATCGGTTGACAGCTTCTTCCTAATCTTCCAACTTCAGCCTATTAAGCAACACTTGGTCAGAAGATTAAATTCAGCACAAAGAGGCAAGATTCACATGGTCAAAGTGTAGTTGGCAAAGTAAGTCCCTCCTGGAAATACTTGGGGAATTTTTCCTTCTTCATATCAAAATTCTACATCTGGAGCAAATGGGAGAGTAATAAATCACTTAACTTTTTGTAATAATCTTTGAGGAAACCATAGGATCCTTGTGTTTGCCCAAGTTGGAGTCTGTGACAGTTCCTACTACTGCTTGAGTCTATGATTAAGTCTCTTATGTTTGTTTTAGGTCATTTTTAATTTGTCCTAGGTCAGCCAAGTCAATAGAAAGGTAGATATCTACCAATACAAAGTATTTTTCAGAAGTTAAGCAGTTTTTGGTAAAACTCCAAACCTTATTAATCTTCTGCAGATGACAAATCATATATTGCTGATGATTAGAGATACCCATGTATTACCCTTGGGTTTTAGACTCAACAGTCCATCTCTCTTTTTCTGATCTTTCAGTAAAATCATAATGCCAAACTGGTGACTTCACAATCATTTCCTTGGCAAAAGATTAATATCAAGAGCACAGAGGAAAAGGGCCCATACTTACACACAAGTGTCTTCAATAACAGTGGGAGAAAACAGAATACTACTGGCAAAGTAAATTGCTTTTCTTCTTAAAACTGTTTTCTCTTTCCATTTCTGCCCCATGTGCCCAAGTGTAAAAGCCCTGCTTTGAAAATGTTTCATGCTGTAGATCAAACACTTAAGAGAAAATGACAATAATAAAGCCCGAGCATCCTAGGAACAGTTAAGAGAAAGCCCTCTAGGACAGTGGGAAATACATCAGTGCAGAAATATGTAGCTGCTGAATACACTATTTGTGTTTCTCATGCACACAACTGAAAATTACAGTCAGAATTTAGATAATTATGTTAAATTTGATGCTCAATCATTTTTTTTTTAGGAGGTCCTTTCCATGGTTCTGTACAGGTTCTTGTCAACTCTTCTGAGTGGGAGGCTTAGATGATAAGGATTTCTGTGGGAATTAAATTTTTTCTTTAAACAGTGAACCTTCTTCAGAGTGAGGTCTAGAATATTCAGGTGTGGTTTATATTTACCTGTAAAATAAAGAACTACATAACCATTAAAAACAACTTTCAAAACACACCAAAGATCCCATCCTGAAGTAAATCTTTAACAGCATGTTTCAGAGATTTCTTCATCGGGGAACCAGTTTGTTTCAGTTACAACCAGGTGTGCTGAGAGATCCCAACACATTGCCAATTGGCTAGAGCTGGGAGGCAGAGCTTGCAGGAGGCTAAAGAAACAATGCATCACTGACAACTTCCATTCATCATCCCAGCCTGCGCCAGGCCTGGGAGCTGGAAAGAATGGGCTCCATGTGCATTGCCCTCAGGGAGGAGCCTGCAGGGCTTGCACATTTTTCTAAGAAACCTGGTCTTTCATGGGAGACATAAAGGGCAATGTGTGGTTAGTCTTCTTTCAAAAGGCCTTGCCACTTTGCAGGCAACAGGTGGGCAGGTATGTGATTGCATAGATATAAATGACACCTGTCTACGCTTTAAAATGTTGCTCCACCCTTGGTAACGTAAGCCTGGTGTGAATCTTTCAGAACATCTTGTGACAAATATCATGAAGCCATTAGCTGTCATCACACCTTTCCTGAGAATTTCCCTACCATATCCCCAACCCATGTACTTGTTTGCAAGTGATTTTTGTTGACTTTTCAAACTATAATTTCTTTTCTCCACTTTTTTTTTCCGCCTGTTTTAGGGACAAATCTAAAGGCAGCGTTTTCCTTTCTGTTTAACAGAAGACTGGTTCCAGATTAACAAATGAAGCTACAGATTAAATTACTGTAGTTTGGATTTTTTCAAAATGATTTGGGAAATGAAGACTTATTTCTAAATGGCTTCAAGAATATCCTTGCTATACTTTATTTTTGGAGTAATTTAAATAGAACTGTTTTCTTAATATGCTCAAAGGATGATTAAGAAAGGAAGGCCATATAATATATTTTTCCCAGATAGCTGCAATCTTTCTTTAAACACATGCACACCCCCACCCTCCCATCTAAGACTTTTATGCAAGAATGTCACCTTTTAGATGCCAGATGATCAAATGCCAAAGCTGTCTGAGAGATCAGTAATTGTATTCATACCCTGGTCACCAAGAGCACCAATTCCTATTGGCCTGCACACCGGCTATTTTGGCAGGCAAAAATATGCGTATTCCTGTGACCATTGGGCAAGCAGATATATTCTTACTAGTGCATCTTAGCAGCTGATGCCTGAAAATTTGGCCTCAATTGTTTATAGAAAGGAAAAGCAATCTGAGCTGTCAGCTTTGATATTACCTAAACCTGCATTGAATGTGGTAAAATAATGCAAGATTTGTTTTTTAGGCCTGTTTCATATTTTCCAGGCAATAGATCAAATCAGTTCAGGGTTCATTTTTAGTTCTTTAATAAGCTGACACAGTATATTGGAAGAAAAATAAGAATGCACTTTTAACATGGAAATGCTATATAGTCAAAGTTACTGTTAGTGCTATTTATTAATAACTCAGGATCCCTTGAGATTGAGTTTAGCTCTTTAAGTAGGGAGACTGAGGTTCTAGTTCTTTCCAATGTAATGAGCATCCTGCCTCATTTCTCTCTCATCATCTCCATTTAGTATCTCAGCCCCAGTCCCTTGTCAATTCATATCTTTCCTTGCAATTTATAAGATTTTTATACATTGAATCAGCCCAGTGAGAAGAATTAATAAATCATGTATAGGCCTTTTCTGTCATGTTCTTATCTAAATCATGACTCTACCCTCTCCTCAAAGTGCTCTCCCATAGAATATCTGCTACTTTCAGGTTCTTATTCCCAGGCAGACCTGCTCTGGACTTTGATGCTTCATCATCGTCTTCATATCACGGTCTGTTTTTATTTTCCTTCCCTCCTTAGCATTGATTTCTACATACTACACATTTAGTTCATAATTTTCTTGAATATTATCTGTCTTTCTCACTGGAATGTAAGCTCTTGAGGCCAGGGATTATTGCCCACACCTCCAGAATCTAGGACAGAGCCTGGCAGGTAGTGGACACCACATAATGTCTGTTAAATGAAGGAATGGAAGTCATTTACCCTAGCTTGGGTGTTTTTGTTCCATGACAGATGATGTGTTTTCGGGACCCATTGAGTGTGGTACACTAATATCTCCATCTTCTCCTGGCCCTGATGAGAAAGGGTGGGAGAAGTGGCATGCTCTTGTCTCCTGGAGCCATCCTCAATGTTGAGGCGGTCAGTGCTGGGCTTTAGTCAGATAGCCAGCCTTTTTTGAAAAACTTTCTGAGCTGGATTTCTTTTAAACACTATCCTAAGCAACCATCCGTCCTTCTGTCTGTCTGAACTCCAGGCATTTTCTCCTTCCCCAACTTTTTGAATAATAAGTGGTATTGATTTTAGCTAAAGAGTATCTTCCTTTAGCAAAAACTCCACACTGTAGTTCAGGAGGTAAAGAAGCCAGCATGATGCTGCACTAATGGGAGCCAGGAAAAAATAATTGCGTGAGCTCAAGACATTTCCATTTGCTACACTTGCAGCCCTGGTGACCGTGACATAAATCTGTTGAGCCTTGCCATTGCTTCTCTGGGTTCCAAGAACATCCAATGCTTGTCTGATGTTAAGTTTTACTGCCCATGAAAGCAAACATCACCTCCGTCATGGTCAGTTAAACAGTATCTTTTACAGTGGACTTCTGCATATCTAAAACCACCCACCCAAAGCAAAAAGTAGTGCCAGGGGGGAGAGATTTTATTCTGCCATGTTTCTTACAAAGAGGAGATCAAAGGTCAATACAATTCATAAAATTACTGCAGTCGTTTTTCAGCTGGCTGAGAGACTTAGCAGATCAAAAAAATACAGTGGCTCCTAAATGATTTCTGATATGCACAATTCTAGTGTTTTTTATTCTCAGCATGTGGGGCAAAGCCTGCCAGAAACCATCTTTTTTGCGATTGACAGGCAGACTAGAAATCGTCCAGGATGCTTTCCATCATCTCTGCACGGGCTGGCCATCCATTTAAGCTGCTCGCTGTGAAAGCCTGCTTTGTGCGTACTCTCCCTTACATGTTGTTCTTCTCTTTCAGTGTGGGGCTCATCTTGGGCACATTTTTGATGATGGACCTCGTCCAACCGGCAAAAGATACTGCATAAATTCAGCTTCCTTGTCTTTCACACCTGCGGACAGCAGTGGCGCGGAAGGAGGCAGCGAGGTCAGCAGCTCAGCCCAGGCAGACAAAGCGGAGCTGTAGAGAAATGGAGAGTGATGGAAACAAAGTGTACTTAATGCACAGCTTATTAAAAAATCAAAATTGTTTATCTTAATAGATATATTTTTTCAAAAACTCTAAGGGCAGTTTTGTGCTATTGGTATTTTTCTTCTTTTGCTTAAACAGAGGCCCTTTCCATCCATGTATTTTGCTATTGACTAGATCCAGGACTGTTTATAGCTTTTGAAAATGGAGATAGCTTTGTGAAACTTCTTCACAAGTCACTTAAGTAGCCTTTGGCATTCTTTTCTTTGAGTACCTAACTTCTTTTGAGTTTTGTTGTTGTTAACTCTTGACTTAAGAGGCAGAGGTTTTTGGTCTTCAGATGTGAAAGCAAAGTTCTAGCAGAGCAGGGACCAGAGCTGGGATTGCCTGGCATTGAGACACATGGTCTTAAGGCGTTTTACAGATCTACCTACGATAAGGATGAGGGATGTCTAGGAGACTTCCCAGCTTTGTGGAAAGTCTGAGCTAAGGTCGTTTTTTTCTCACTAAAAGGGTGTGAAGGTCTAAAGTCTTTCCTTATGTTAAATTGTTGCCAGATCTGAGGGGGCACTCTGAGTGTTGTGGCAGAGAAGTAAACATTACCTCGCGGTTAGGCCTTTATTTTATTTTCCATTGAGACCATTGGAATGCAAGAAAATGTAAAATGTTGAGTCCCATTTTGTCCAAAGTTCACAAAGAAGAACACCTGCCCATTGCCTTTTTATAAGACTTTTCTCCACACTTAATACCAACTGCAGCTGGAAGTGCATTTTGGTTAATCCCCCTGCATAAAACAAAATTCTGGGACAACACACTTCATCAGATCAGCAAAATGAGAGAGATCCAGAGAAGACCAAGGATGAAGCCTTGAGTCCTCAAAAAAATCAGTACTGGCAGAAAAGCTGGCAGGATACTACAAGTAACAAACAGGAACCTTGTACACAGCTTTAGGTTACCCCTGGAAAGATGCTGGGCATTAAAGTAGAAAGAACCAGGCTCATGCTCCACACTTGACCTAACTAACCTGCTGTGCAACAAGGGACAAGCCATTTAGCCTTTCTGTGCCTATTTCTTCATGTACAAACTGGGACTCACAATATTTGTAAATGTATTGACACTCTCAGGGCAAAATTACTATATTGCTATATAATTAAGATCAGTATTATAAAGTTACACTGATCTGGTTCTAATTGCCTCAAAAACTGAAGCCCAGGCATTTGAAATAGAAAGAAGCCGAGGTTGACTTAGCCGATTAGTATGGAAATGGTTGGGCCAAGAGCCAGACATTTTTCTTTATAGCAGTATGGCTGGTTTTACTTTGAGAAACTTTGCTCAGCTGCTTTATAACATGTGATCTGGTGTCATTGTGCACAATAAGGTTTTCACAGGTACAAGCTGATGTTGCCATAGCCAGGTGTGAAAGCATCATGTGTGACTGACTGATATATATTGTGTATATAACTTTGGATGCTCATTCTGAAATGTCGTTTTTTAAAATATTATTTTTATAACTATTTGATAGCTTATGAAGACTGACATCTTCCTTTCATGCATCAAGAGAAAAAGAAGAAGAGGGTTACTAGACAATTATACAGTGAGAAATGAGAATGAAAAGTTGTGACAAATCAAAATGTGAGCATCATCATGTTGGTGTACCTGCCTGACTTTAGGCATGTGAGGAAGGCCCTGTCATCCTGGTGACTCTGTGTCATCATGGATGCAATCCCAGAGGAGTCATGCTCTTAACATGCTCAGATAAGAGGCCATTGTTGTCTGACTCTCCAGCTATTCCCTCAGCTTTAGATGTTACACCTCATACTCTGGGGTCATGCTGGAACTTACAGGCTTCACTCCCTTCTAGAAACAAAGAGTAAAATTTAAGACCTGATCAGCCATTGGCATCCAGACCTTCTTAGAATCTTTCGCAACTTCATGGAGGGATGCTGAATATTTCTCAACAACAAGGATCCCATATAGGGGTAGCTGAAGAAATAAATGGGTTTCCCATGGCCTCCCATCCATTCTCACAGGCACACAGAACTTCTCAACCACTCTAGTTGTGTGTGGTGGCCTTACGCACAGGGTTGCCTGGATATGATCCACAGAGTTTGGCCTAGATGAGGAAGAAATTTGAGAGGACTGCCCTCTCCCCAGAGAATTGATTGTCATTGTTTCTTCATTTTTATAGTAGGGCATAGCATTTCCCTCAAAAACAAAATTAAAAAAAATATAAAAATAAAAATATATGTCTCTCCTAATCTTTAGTCCCCACCCCCCCAAGGAAAACCAGTTATTTTCCAACACTAACTTTGAAGAAAAATGCAACATCCATCAAAGGGGGGCATGGGGGAGCAGGGTGTATGCATGTGGTTTAATTCCAAATTGCTTTTTGGGTTTAAGTGGTATCAAATTTCGGTATATTTCTGTCTTATGTTAAGGAAATATATTACCAAAATGTCAGTGAGCAATAATGTCAGCTGTCGAGCCCTAGATTTATTTTTGCAGGATATGGAGTGCAATGAACTGAGTCAATATGGTGAGGTGTATGTGATCTGTGGGAGGAATGCCATTTAGCATTGGAAGTGCATGGGACTTTCCCTCTCTGCCTTCCAGCTCTTGCTGCACCTTTGGAAGATGAAGGGTTTTGTTCGTGTGCAGAAAATACATCTATACAGCCATGCTGAACAAATCTGAAGAAAACAACAGTATCTATTGTAGTAGAAAACATTTCTATGTGGCAAAAGTTTTCACTTCTTAGATGTATTTTATGTTCTTAATAAAATGACATAACAATTTGAAAATCTCTCCATGTTAATTGTGTTTAACATGTCTTGCTTTAAATATGAAAAATGAAAGGGATTATCATTGGTTTTGGAGGTCAAATATTATTATTGACTTAAATACCTTTGTAATAAATTTCCTCTAGACAATTCAAAACTTTTAAAAAATGAGATGAAACTTTCATTAAAAAACCCTTTTCCTATGTTTGTTGTATACAGAAATTATGTAATAAAATTTCTTTATAAAAATATTTTTCTCTGTTTCCTAAAGATTCTGCTTATTTCCTGCACAGATGCATGGATTGTCCACTGAGGTATGCAGTAGACTGTTTACCTCCTTACCAGATTGGCAGGTTTGTCATTTGTATTGAGAGAGATTTTTCTCTGATGAAGATTTTGAAATCTGGGACTCTGACAATTGGGTCAAGTTTGCTTGTCCTTATCCGAGGCCATGAGAAAGGCCTCCAAGAATCTGCAAGATTGGGGAAAAGGGAAACGTTTGTAGAATTACTCAGATTTCATCTTACTCAGTAAAATATTTAGCAGTTGTATATGTTTTTGTGCTTAAAATATAGACTTTGGGGAGTTCCATCAGGATAACTCTATAGGTGAAAATGCAGGAATTATATCATGCTGGTGCCTATGTGTCTTAAAAAATTTGACAGGAAACTTTTACACAATTCTCAAAGGTTGGTCTCTAAGGAAATATGTGCAGAGTTGCCCACTGTTCACAGATTAATTTTCACCTTTAAAAGTCATCTCTACAGATGGATTTTGGTATCATAACATTTGTTGTTGAAATGCTTCATCTTTTGTTTTGTTGATTTACTTGTTTGGAAGAGGAGAAGTCGGGTGATGAAGACCCACATTGTAAGTCATATTCTTGGCATCCTAAAATGCAGGCCATCATCAATTTCACGCAGTGTACCCCACCAAAATGCTTCCTATCATGTGGTCCCCACCTGGGAACTCTAGAAATACAAATGTTCAGACCTCATCCCAGATTTCATTTTAAAACTATGGGTTAACAAGATGTGTTTAGCAAGTCCTCCCTGTTATTGTGATGCTTGTTCAAGACAGAGAAGCACTGTGTTGAAATTTTGAGTGAGAACAATTAGTATCTATTTTAAAAGCATTTAATATGACTCTCAAAAACGGGCCTGTTTTGTCCTTACCTGGTTATCCTTCTGTTGGGTTAGGTTTTTCCCAAAGCTTGATTCCTTTCAGCTGTTTTCACCCTCCACTGCCCACTTACCTTGTTCTGGGGGTCTGTTTGTCCTCATCTGAATGGAACCTGATCTTCCCAGTGGAGCTAAGCAGGGCCTTTCTAGAACTATGGGATGTCCATGACAGGGTTTCCTCCTGTAATTCCAAGAATTAGGAAACAAATCTCAGTGTGTTGATTTGTAAATGATCTTTTTCATCTCTTCTATTTCTTTGCACCTGTAACTTTCATCATCTTCATCATCATCATGGTTTTATTTAACACTTCAAGAGATTTCTATGAAGGTGCCAAGGTGCCACATACCAGAATCTTGACTTCAGTTTTTTTTTTTTTTTCTCAGAAAACTGCCATTATCACCCATATCTTAACAATGAAATGACTTCTGGAAGATACTAGTATACAAAATGTTTGAATTAAAAAACTGTTCATGGAACAGGCCCACAAGCACCCCATACCAACTTCCAAGCTAAGTGTTCATTGCGCTCCATAACTGATGGAAACTCCACCACTTTGATGTGGGGCCTGCAAAGTTGCTCTGTGCCATGGAGAATATTCTGGCAGGAATTCATCCCATCTGCTTTCTCCCAGAGGCTATATCAACCCTGAGAGGTATTAGCTGAAAGATAGTTAAACCAAGCAGCTCTACCCACCACCCTGAAAGGCTGTGAGTGAGGAGCACTATGGAACCCTCATGGGATAAGGCCATGGTGATTTGAGATTTGGAGCCAAACCAGATCCTCAGCCCACATGAGTTTTTAGTGTGATTACAGATGTTGCTCTCTTGTCAGATTTTGTAGGCCAGGAAGCCTTGTTTTTATCTTAAGGGTTCAACCCCTGTCCTGCAACCTTAGTATCGTCAGGTTGGGCAGGCACCTGGAATTTTCAGAAATAACCAGAAGGGCAAGTCATTTAGTAATTAGTAAATAATTACTTATTACTAAATTACTAATTTAGTTCAGCACTAAAATGACAAGACAAAGATGTAGAAATCTATTTGAAAGCAAAGTAAGAGAGGTTATGTATATTAGCCCAGGAAGAAGTTGTAAGAGTTAAGATGTAGTTGCCTGAAATTTTATTCCCAAGGCCTTCTATATCACCACGGGATTTCTTTTCACCTTAATGATATTGTATATTAAATAATCTCTATAAATCAGGCACTTGATCCATTAATGTGAAGTATGTGGTCTTATCACCAGTCTATAGATGGTGGCACTAAAGCTCAAAACAGTGAAGACAAGTTAAGAGTACTAGCAATACATGGTGGAGCTCAAATTGAAATCCAAGTTCAGGAGACCTCAAAGGCTGTGCTTCCTATTCCACACTCAACTGCCTCCAGCATAGGTCCCTGGCTCTTTGTAGTTTTCAGTGTCTGTGGGCTTTAATTGGGGGCTTTCACCTGGGGGAAATTTCTAAATCATTTCATTTCAAGTTAATTGGAATTTCTCCTTCTAAAATATATTCTGCAATGTTACTTGTTGGTTTTTTTTCCCCAGAGAGGGCTAATTAAGCATGTAGGTACATCTTGGTATTTTTACACTTTGATGATGAAGAGTTTCATTTTTCCCCTAAGGGCTAGCTTTAATAGTCCTCATAAAAGTACCACAAG